AGGCGACCTTGTGTGGGTTTGTGTGTAACTCTGTTTTATTTGTGTTTGTCCAAAAAACGATTATGAGATAAAACTTGAGACGATTTAGAGAGATGAATGAGACGTTAATTCCTCGTTTTGAAAGACATATTCAACAGAAATAAGATGGCGAATTCTTCCAGGAGAAAGAGCGGGACGAACAAAGTGCTACATGAATACAACAGCCGGCCAACTTCAAATTTCGGACGACAGTGTTCAAAACAGGTGATCTGAAATTTCCGAATTCTACTTCATCCAATTGGAGACATTTAGGATGTGGAAAAGAAGGACTCCCTAGAAAATCTATTGCGCTTCGAATCAATCGCAAGTCTCCAGAATCTTGGAACTTATCAGGAGAATGACAGTCGTATCCACCGATTTGGTATGGGACGCTCGGGACTTCATTATAGGGAGTCTTCGTGTTTTGCATTGGAAGATGAGTAAACGCTGGGATGTCACACGTCCAGGCACCAAGAAGATGGAACGAAACTCCAACATCACCGGTACCGCACATTGTTCACATTCATGGAGAAAATGAAGACGAAGAGACTTCGCTTTCATACATTTGGTATCTGAAATTCCTTCTTGGTACCTTGTTGCCTGTAAATAAACCGTGGACTTGAAAATCTTTGCCTTCAAAGCGTAAGAAAAAGCACAATTAAAATTACCATAAGTGATGTGAGCACTCCATCAAGTCTCTCATGGACAAATGCTTCATCCATGTGACTCACTTATTTTCCAATATCATCATAATTATTACATCTAACGTATACTAGTATAGACTTGTAATACTGTTTACACAAAACATAAGCACAACTATGTCCTATACAATGCAACAAGTGGTGATCTTTTGTATAGACTTTTAATAAGTTTAAACTTGTTTAAAGTAATCACACTATAATTAATTATTGCTAATATCTAATATAAATTGATATTCCATCAACATATTTACATGAATTTCAAATGTAAAAACTTGAATTTGGAGTGAGTATAATAATTTAAAAGTTATTTCAAAACATAAATAGATATCACGGATGTGACATACAGTAGAGGTGAAGTTGCCAACTTGTCCAACTTTGGATGGGGTGACTACTTCTAAATTTGGATCTTCCTAAATAAGAATAATCACGCACTAAGAATAATCTGATAACATTATCCTACACTCTCTTTGGCATTAATTGTATCCACTCTTCAATACTACTTTCAATTTTTTCAATTCAGGTGTTAGTACTTCCCGTTTTTTCACTTTGGGTGCTATACTTAATCTTGTGCGAGAAACCTTATCACTTCTGATGAATTTGGTTTCCTTTGAGGTATTTTTTCAATATAATCTTTGACTTGCGGGACTGGTCGCTTCCGAGAACAACAAGAGCTACAACAAGAGAGGAAAAGTAGGCACGAGACGAAAGGAGAGGAGAAGAGAGGAGGAGGGGGAGGCCAGCAGCAGCAGGGCCAGAGAGAGAGAGAGTGGGGCGAGAGATGGACGGCGGAGACAGAGAGAGCAATCGAGAGCGCGCAGCGGCAGCAGGGGAGGAGGAGGTCGGAAAGGTGGAACCCGAAACTAAAAACAGCTGCTGCTGCCTGCCAAGCTAGCTGCGCAAGAAAGCGAAGCAGGGGCTGCCCTGACCTGGCTTTGCTAGGGCACATTGGCCGCGCCCCGAGCGGCCGACGGGAATGTAGAGGCGTTTGGTGGACGGTCTGCTGTCAGTAAGGGATCGAGATACGGTGAGATGCGCCAGATAACCAGATTACCCTACCTAGAACTATGCAAGGAAGCAGGAACTTGGAACTCAACAAGTTGAAAATGAATTCGGAGCGCGTCTTACCTTCCCCTTGCGCCCGCCCTGGATGGAGACAGCGTGAGATGAGCATCCGCTCGCGCCCGGCAGAGATCTAGACGAGTTTGACAGATCCCCTCGCGCCACGTGGGGTCAGTCCGCAGTCAGTCAAGAATCAAGGGTTTGAGCCAAAACACAGGAAAATTGAGTCAGAAAACAATAACGGCCAGCCAGATTAGGATCTATATGGTTGACACATGTTGCCACATAATCAAGTATTATCCTATCCTCTTCATATTCTCTTTGTTTAATATCCCATTTAAAATAGCTTTTTATCCTCATAGCATAAAAGCTAGAGCCTTGTTAGATTCCGGAGACTATGCTCATTTTATTGATAATAATCTTGTAAAACTTTGCAATCTTCCTAGAATTTAAAATAATATTAATATGGCTGTAGAGGTTATCAACGTTACACCCTTAATATTTTGAGATGTCACTAACAAAACTAAATTCTTGGACAATCCCCACAAATACTATTCTATTCAACATCATTAATTTTTACTCTAATACTTTTGTCTTACATCTCTCTTGGTTTGAAGTGATAAATTTGGATATAAATTGAAAAGAAAAAAGCTAACATATTGAATCAATATCTTTCATATTTTTTCAAGAAGCCCTAAAAATATTCCAAAACCTTGCACTTGCCAAGTTCAAGAATACAGATGAGAGTTCTGTTGATGATTGATGGCCAAGACTTTATGACAGCAGTCTAGAATGAGAATATGTTTTCAATTTATGCAATTCCAATATTTCAACCTCGTCAAGAAGCAACCAAGTTATCAGTAGAGTATCAACACGGTTTGAGAAGAAAGAAAGATACACTTAGAATTTACTTTATGATTCTGGCATTGAAACTCCAAGAAGTTGTGCCACCTTACTTTGGTTAAATCTAGCTAATCCAGAACTAGCTTGTTGCATTGAGAGATTATCTTCATGAAAATCTTCCAAATAATTTCATTCTACATTCCAAGTCACCTGCTAGAGCTCCTATGCTTAAAGAAGAAATAAAGCTCCTCTCAGATGTACTCATCAAAATAAATTTTTTATTGTCATCATAACAATGTGTAGCCATATTTGCTGTAAAGTTATTTTTTAGATATTATTTTATGTTACTTCTAAATGTATCATAATTTTTACTGGTATTTACAATATAAATTTTGTGACTAAGTTTAAGGTTATTTTAGTTCCCGTTTCTTAGATGTAACAAATGTATTCTACGATTCTTCTAGACGACTGGAACTATCTATCATGAAATTTACCCAGATTGATTTGAATAAGGCTCAAATGGCCTTGTGTGTCATGCTCTTGATTATTCAGATTATTAAAAATGAATTGCATGTCATCCCATACAATGAATCATTTGGGAATGATTGGAGATATCAAGAATTTAATGTCTGAACCGAAGTCAAAGTTGATGGGAGGCCTAATGCACGTGAGACCAAGCAAGCAGGTAGTCCCGCTCACTAAATTCGAAGATATTTTAGATTTGAAAGTTTGAATATGCCGCCTTCCAATGCCGCCTAGAAGAATAAAGAGACAAACTGTGCTTGTAAGTCCAAAATTCTAAAGAGTGTAAACCCTCCCCGGCAGCCATATAAGCATGACAACTGAAGCAGGTCTGACATTCATTTCCATGAAGCAACAGACTAAATCCTCTTTCGAACAATCTTGTGTGATTTATCTGAAGACTGGAAAGTAAAGCATGGAAAATAACATTCAGTGAGTGATTTGCGAGGGAACGTGATAGACGCTGCGATGTTTAGTGAAATTTCCATCAAAGTGCCTGCAAATTTCTGGCCCGAGCATACAGCCGACACCTGATGTCTTGTCGCCGGACATTGGATTATTAGCTAGGGATACCTACCTGCAGATGTCCTCAGAAGTTGCGAAACTGCAAGTCGAGAGTCATGCTTCCGGCCCAGTATGGTGTTTATTCTAGATGATTGAGAAGCGGATGGTAGAGTCTAGACCAGATGGTACTTCTTCACGATCACCAGACTCACGACACAAGGATTGAAGTGCAGGCGAATTCTGTGATTTCCGTGATCAGGTGAACTCTTGTCTGAGGCAGTCGAAGATGAGGGCCTTGATGTTCCAGCCGTAGCCATGAGGTCTGAACCTGGGAACGACAGTCACGGTGATGTCGGTGTCCCATTTGGTCACGCCCAGCCTCTTCAAGGCCAAAGAAGTGCTGAAGCGAATGTTGAGGGTGCGGTACATGTCGTTGTTCTCGACGTGCACCATCTTCTGGCCCAGGTCCGTCACGGTCGTCACACCGCTGGGCAGGTGAGTGAAGGTGCCCACGTAGGCCGACTCGTCCTCGTCGGTCTCGGCCGTGGCGGTGGGGGAATCGAGGAAAACGTCGAAGCGCACATTCATGAGCTCGGGCACGCGGACGTGCTCCAGCACCACGCCCTCGCTCAGCTGATTGACGTTCTGGGCCTGCGTGCCTCGGAGATCGGCCTCAGTGGGAGCCCGGCGTGTGAGCTTGAAGCTCGTTGGCTGCCTTCCGATGGCGTTGCTGGTGCTGACCCTCACGTCGCTGCGTTTGTAGCTGGGCTTCGTCCCGTTGGGCTTGTGGTTTATCCACAGGCTGTCTGCCTCGACCATGGGCTGGTACTTGTAGCCCAGCTTGTTGCTGTCCAGTGTATCCTTCACCTTCACGATCACCATGTCTGCGTTCTCGTCGTAGAATGTAAACTCTGTCTCCAGGAAGTCGTAGTCGTCGTAGTCCTTGCGGACCCGGTGCCCGTCAGGAGTGATCTTGTCCGGAAGAGCTTTCCAGACATTCCACAGACGGTCGACGTTGGCGTGGTGCGAGTAGAAGATCGGGTCGCGCCCTGCATACGTGAACACGCCCATGTCCTCGTTGTCGGGATAGGCCGTGTTGTTGAGCATGCCCACTCATTCGTGAGCAGTGTTGTGAAGCGATTCTGATCCGCCGGACTCACCGACGGTGACATTGAAAGCTTCCGTGAAGTTGGAGTTGGTGTTGTATGGACCTCCCATGTACTCTCTGGCGCTCACCTTGTTGTAAACCATCTCGTAAACCTGGCCCAAGTTGGCGTGCCTGATCTGGTCGTGAGTCCAATTGGCCCGCTCCTTCTCGAGCGATGCATCGAAGGTGAGCGGAAGAACCTTTGGGGGCATGTGGTTGGGGTTGCGGCGTTTGCCTTCGTAGAGGAACGTTGTTCCTGATCTTTCCATGCCGTCCGTGGTGTCGAGGCCATCCATTCGACTGCTGGTAAGGCAGGAAAATTTGAGGAATTTGGCCCGCAGTGGCGTCGAGCTGGTTGTGAAAATGGAGTGGTTTCTAAGGAGATAGAAGGGTGGATAATGACGTCAAGAGGAGTCGGAGTAAGAGGCGGACGATGAGAGACTCCGTTGAGAGGGACTTCATGTAACAGCAAGCGTGGGATCCAGAGGTAGAATACATGTCTTCGTTAGTTGACCCAAGCCGTCTAGCATAGTTGGAAGACATCCAATTTGAATGACAAAGCAAGTTGAACAACTTGGTTGGATAGTCAACTGATGGTTTGAGACGAATTTAGACCGTTTGCAATTTAGTTCTGTTTCGCCCGCCTTTGAGCAACTTTTGTTACAACAAACACCAAGTTTGATTCTACAACAAGATTTATGAGCTTGAATATAAGCTCTGATTGTGAAGGAGAAACATTCTCAGGTATTACAGAAGAAAATGGAAGTGATGAAGTTGCGTGATGAGAATTTGACGAAGCAGTTGAAGGTTTTTAAAAGTGAAGTTCAGCAGGTGGAACAAGATTTAGAGACTGTCACTTTTCAGGAGCACAGGGTGAGAGCCAGGGAGTTTCAAACACTAGAAGGCCAAGGCCGTGAGTTCGAACCATCGCTTGTTCAATGAACTGGCTAATTTACTGGCTTCTGCTTCTGCACTAATATTCGTGCATGAGGGTATGTGGACAACCAGGAACTATTGCTGGTAGGCTTTGGAAAAGGTAATCTGTGTTATCGCTCTATATTCTTGACGAGCAGTAGAATGATCAGGGGCGGCGAGGTCAAATCCATCCGAACAGAAGAAGCCAAGGCCAGGAAAAAGCCTTACCGAAGGCCTGGAGGATTTGACAAGTTATTCGTTTCAGTCCTGGGTAATTAAGGAGTGAAACCTTGGCGTCTGGTCAGATTTATGTGCAGAGCGACCTCCTTGAAGAAAGTGCCCGTGTCACGTTCATGCTTCCAATCCTTTGCTACGGCCAAGTTGTACCGTTGGCACATGCTTCCAATCACCATGTTCAATATGAACAGAGCCATACTTTGACCTGGGCAGATGCGCTGCCCAACGCCGAAGACGACGTACTTGCCGTCGTTCCCGCTAAAGTTCGTGTCCCTTTCGAGAAATCTCTCGGGCTTCGCCTCGTAAGGATCGGGGAAAGAGGCTGGATCCCGAGCTAGACCCCAAAGGTTCACCAGCAGCATCATATTTTTCGGAATGTCGAAGCCTCCTAGAGTTGCGTCCTCATGTGCGCAGTGAGGAATCAGAAACGGGATAGCTCGGTGCAGCCTCAGGCCCTCCTTGATGACTCCTTGGAAGTATGGCAGCCTCTCAACATCGGTCAGTCTGAGCTGCTTTCCTTCACCCAGCACCTCGTCCATCTCTTGCTGCACCTTCACGAGAATTTTCGGATTTTCGACAATCATTCTCAGGGTCCCTTCAACTGCGGCAACCGTCGGGTCTTGGCCAGCGAAGAAGCACTCCTCGTATATCTCGAGGGCTTGATCGTGGTTGATCTCGCCATTCCTCTCAGCTTCTTGAACCATGTCACTCAGAGACCATTCGTTTTTCAGATTATACCTGAAATGACAATTTCACAACCAGCACGTTAGCGAAGTTCGTGTTCGGTGACATCCTCTCTCTACGAGCAATCTAAATGTTTCCGAATCTAACGATTCGCGAACATATCGTGTAATGATTGTCCACTGCGATTGTCTCTAATCCAGGTACGAAAGTCAGTACGGAAGCTTGATCGGAAACCGCGAAGCGGGAAGACTATTTATGACGTCTGATACCATTGAATAGGGAAGACTGTGACGTCTGATATAACTGAATAAAAAAGCACTACGGGAGCATCAAGTTGGGAAATCGGAAAAAGGAACGATCAGATAGGCAGAGCGCTGAAGATATGCTAGTTCTCCTGTAGAATCCTTCCTGGCAAAGCGCAAAGCGCACATCGCATATGGAATCATTCGAAAGCGCACAGCGTAAAATGCAAAGCACACAGAAACACTCAAGCTTAGGCTTGCACTTACTTGACGCCCCGTTGAGAAAGGATTTCTTCATAAGCCTTGCGCTTTCGAGCGACGAGACGACGAGCGACCAGCTTGTTATATAGCCAGGACGCCGATTCCCCGATGCATGGGAGAAAGGTTTCTATTGCGTGGTTGTTGTCGGTTACAACGAAGAGCTGATCGTTCAGAGGAATAATCTCTTCGGCGTACTGCTCAGCTCCGGGCCCGAAGACGAACACCATCAATATCCTCACTATCATCGTTTTGGCGATTTGATGGCGAGCATCGATCGAAACTTCGCTGTCAATTTCCTTGTACAGTTGTGGCAAGAGAACTCTCACGACGTAATCGTGCCCCAAAATTCTCTTGAATTCGTTCTGTCCTGCGACCATGATTTTCCTCGTCACCTTCCATGCAGGACCGTGGGGTGTGAAAAGAGCTCCCGTCTCTGACTTCCCATCGGGGCTCATCCTCAGGCCCCGGGTGGCCCGCATTTCCCTGACCCGGGAGTTGAAGACGTTCCCCTTGGTGATCAGCATCTCCTTCGTCACCTCGGGAGAGCTCACAATGACAGTTGGAATGTTGGGGAATATGAAGCTCATGATGGGCCAATTATTAGTCTGCGAAAGGCTCCATAACTTCTCGGGCATTTCTGCCCCTCTCATCTCGAGCATATGTCCAATCAGAGGATAGGATCGCGGTCCCGGTGGCAAATTGGACGTCTTCCTTTTCACCCTGACCTTGAGCAGGCCCATTGACACAGCAACCACCACTGCGACGAGCAAACTGGTCGTCCCAAAGCTCCATGACCGGGGATCGTACATGTGTCCCAAAAGGGTGCTGGCGTTCGTGGCGGCCATCTTCAACTACACCGCAATGCGCAGCGTAGAACAGCAGTTTCGGAGCTCCAAGAGAATTAGAACGGCCGGGTGCGTTCTCAGTCGTTCTCAGTCGTTCGTGAATCCGAGCTTTCTAATCCACGTGCAGCTCAATACCCTCTCGATGGTGGCCGAGTTCTCACGGACGCCCCAGATGTTTAGTTTGGAGAGGTCGGGTGTGGCACTTTGTTGTGCCAGACGAGTTACCAAATTCAGACGATCCGTGCAACGGTTTATATTTGCACGCTCGAGAGAACAGATGCTCGAGGTCGGATAGGTGCTGGCACAATAGAATTTTCTTCCGGGCTGTAGAACGACTTAGAATAGACATTGAATAACGTCAAAATTAAGCCGGCCTGTAGACAGTTTTTTATAGACTTAGATAAATCAGTTCAGGCGCCCTCCATTGAGAAACTTCCATCATGAACCGTCTAGAAGACAATCTCTCCATCCCACTTCACGCTGGTGGTGAAGAATGTGCTGGACTTCTATTCGAATTTGCAAACTACAGGAAGATCTTCGCTTCAAGAAAGAGTTCACTCCTCGCTAAAGAAAGAACGATTTCATTGAGAAGTCAATTCAATCAGTTCTCCCTTTGACCAAGGTTTAAATAAGAGTGATATTTTTAAACCGAACAATCCGAGTCGCCAGGTATTATTGCATATGGGAAGTTGGTATGAGCAGAATCGCCACTGTCTTACCCAGAAAGGACAGCCTAGTAGATAGCAGTGGACTCCGCGATCCCTGGAGAAGATAAAGCTGCATGATTTGTTTAGATTTGATACAAAGTCTACACCAACATTTCATCTCTTCTTTGTCCTGGCAACGTGAAAACATGCCTGTGAAAACATGCAACGTGAAAACATTATCTCGGAGGCTCTCGCCGGCGTACTTTACCATCCATTACAGAAGGTTTCTGTAATTGAATCTGGCGACCACGCAGTCTCAAATCAGTCTGATTTCTCTCTCAAATGCATTTCGGAGACTATCTACAATGAGTTTGTCAGTTGGACCAAATCCAGAAGCGGCCTGTGTAGATAGGGTAACCTTGCTCTATTGTTTACGCGAAGTGACAGCTTCTATATCTCAGTCATGTCCAGCGTTGAAATTAGAATCTTAGTTTTGGTATGTAATTTATTTATCGGGATTGTGTTTCATGTTATGTGTAAAGTAAATCTTCTCCATTTACATACCAATAAACATTATTAGGTTATGACGACTATGACTCGAGAACCAAAAATGTCTTAAAAACCTTTTCACTATTTCAGTTCGTCAAAAAAAGTTAATTACATTAATTCAAACTGTTCAAATTGAAATCTATTATTGCATATCTTTAAAATGTCATATTGGCATGAATATTTATTTCAAATATCTAACATAACCTATGTTAGATATTTGTTAAATATATATATGAACACGTAAAATTTTATACAACATGACGAATATAAGTTTCTAAATTTATAATGTTCTCCACATTATTAAATTTAAAATTGATCTTTAACTATGATTCTAGATATGTGAAAAACTCACAGTTATTATAAAATTATATTCAAAATATATCACTCAATGAAATTAGTGTTTTTTAAATCATCCACATATTGAAACTCGATTTTTAAGCAATATGTCATAAAGTTAAAGAAAACTTCTATTTTTAATTTTATAACTGGATTCTAAAATCAAATATTTCTATGTCAATATTTAAATCATAAAGTTAGGCTTATGAAGTTTAAAGATTTTTATGAAATTTTAAAGTTAAAAAATTCAAGTGGAGATTCATAACAGTCACAAGATGAAATTTTTACAAAGATAAAATGGCGGAAATTATTTTTAAGATTATCTTGTAATTGAATACAAAGAATAGAGGAGTTTACAAGTGTAAAGTGTATTTGTAAAGTGTTTCTAAGAGTTTCAAATGAAAAAACATTGAGGAAGATGTTTATCATGTTTTTATCAATCAAATTCATCATACAAATTTTGGACTTAATTTGACTCAGTTTTTGTGATTAATTTTTCTTCTCTGGATGCAATCAACTTCTTGAATCACCACCAATGGTAGATTAAAGTTTTCAAAAACTTTTTTTTTTTTATTCCTAAACTAAAGATAATGGTATCAAGTGGGATACATAAGGTGTACTATTAAAAAAAGTAGGCTATTTGTGTGAAACTTTAGAACATATGAAATCTTGAAATAATAGTAATAGAGATTATAGAGTTGTTTGTACTAATAAGTTGAATTGAGAAACTAGAAAATGTGGATTGAGTACTTTGAAGTGAATTTTTAAATACCTCAAATGTATTACGAATTATATTATTTTATTTGATGATTTATTACACAATGCCAAATTCTAATTATGTTACTTTGATTCATATTATGAACAAGATCTTCATAAGTAAAAGTACGAAACTTCATATGTGTTTACATAAATAATGTATGTAGTTGAAAAGATATTTTGAAAAAGTACTTAAGTAAATTATTGACGCCAAATAATTAACAACAAATGAATCAATTTGATCTAATATAATCATTTAGATATGATTTAAACTTGATCTAATCAATAATAATTGACATAAGCTTAATGAATTTGTTATGTCTTTTTGTATTTATTGTTTTTAGTCGTCGGTTTAGGATTAGCAGTAAAAGAGGATATAGAGTCAAAGAGACTCGAAGAAGAGTCAAGCATATAGCGTTGGGATTAGTAAGTGCGCGTAAGCGTTGACTTTGATTACCTAGTGAGTGAATTGGACTCAACTTTTGTGTGACATTCATGTATTGAACTACTGGGGTTAACACGACAGTTTTCACTCGAAAAACTTACTCAGTGATACATTTTAATGTGTACGCTCCCATGTTCTATGTGTGTGAGTAACATATTAGCAATGTAGAGTGTATGGCGATATATATTAAAACAAAAAATCTAATGCATCAACCAAGTTAACTTGTGTTGACAATATTGCATTACTTTGCAAATTGTGCAAAACAAGTTTGCTAGTAATGTTTTTCTATCTTTAAATATCTATTTTTCTCTTTCATGTTATTGGATGAGGATTATTTATAATTATCTCTAGTTCATAGAATAATATATGTTAGGTTTCTTTTCATCATTATTTGCAGAGTAATGAGATTTATTATGGACATATGTCAATATATGAGTAAAAATTAGGATTTCAAGTGATTTATTTAAGCTTTGTTAGCTTCTTATTGTGGTATAGATTTACTATAATCATAAATTATTTTTTTATATAGCTTCTTGTATCTTTTTGTTACACAAAACAAAAGACTTCCGGCTTTCATACAAATAACTTATATCTTTGTGGACTTAATCCCATAAACTTGAATCACATTTTCTTTCATCTCCTTTATGTTTGCATTCTTACTTATGCAAATGTCATAAACACATTTTTAATTCTAAGCACAAATTTCAACTCCAATCATTCTACGATTATAAATCAAACATATTTTTTCCAAATTATTGTATTTGATCATATGTTAGTAGAAAATATTTAGTTTAATTTTGAATTTATGAAATTTTTATTTTTAAAGTCATTTATTTTTTCAAAATAGTATTTTTTATGAATCATATGATTTAAAGAAAAATTTGTGATTCATATGATTCCAAAAAAATCAGTTATTCTAATCGTAAAATTAATGTGTTGAAGTGATATATATCACATTCAAATTATCATATATAATTTATTAAGTTGAAGATTTTTTTAAAAAATATTCCCAAGAAAATATAAACTTTCTGTAATACAACCTGCATTTTTTTTATCAAATAAATTTGATATCAAATCACATTTTGAGTTAAATAAGAGTTTTGAATACAAAATTCAAAATATAAATCATTTATGATTTTAGCCCAATTAATGAACATTCATAGATTGTAGGTTATTTTTATCAATGAATAGAATAATATTTTGATATTTTTCATTTCATTAATAAATTTTATTCTAGGCTTCATTTTTAGTGATCCATATATATGCGATATCCTAGATAGATAGATTAGATATAGTTCCATACTCAAGGAGGTTGAGGTGAAGAAGTGTCAAAGTTATTTGATGGCTTTAGCAACGGTTCTATTAGAAGAACCCGTTGAATGTCATGAACAATTAGATGCGATTCTTTGGATTCAATATGAAGACTGACAAGAGAATCCAAGATTATATTCATGACTTAGTAAATCTATTGATGGATCTTCGGAATATGTGGAAGTAGCTTCCTAACACAAAGAAGACAATGCATCTTCTCAACTCATTGTTGTCTACTTATCAAAAACTATCAAAGATTCTTCTTTATCGTCAAAATTCAATACTCACGTACAACCTTGAGGTTATAAGTGCACTCTTAATGGACGCGATAGAGCATGTAATGTTTTTCCACTCCATCCCATTCACTTTTGGGACAACACATATTATGATCCAAAATGAATCACAACCGAGGAATACTAACGATTCACGATGTTCGAGATTGAAGAGTTAGAGATCAAGATCTCCTTAGCAAAGTAGATTCCAATTTATGACTCAACCATGACAAGAAGATTGTTATTTGTTGGGTATGTGATAAGAAAGGCCACATCATGAAGTTTTGCCGGATGACAAGTACGGCCTCCCCTTTAGTGGCAAACGTTGTAAAGCATCTTGAACTAAGGCGAACAATTTGTACACAAACCGCCTATGATGTTAGAGTTATGTACTCTACAGTTCATCAATAGTTGTTTGTGATGTATAGATTCTAGACAATTCTTGTTCTTATTACATGTGTTACATTAGAGAGTTTTTTTGTACTTTCTTCGTATCAAACGGTTCAATTCTTATCGGCAACGACTAACCCTATAGAATTGAGAATATTGAATCTGTAAAGATCCACATGTTTGATGGTGTCAACCGTACGTTGATCCATGTTAGGTTCATACATAACATGATAAAGAACTTGATCTCTCTTGGAGTGTTGGACTCACACGGTTTAGAGTGGATATCTACGCATGGCGTGTTAGATGTCAAATCATGTGATAAGAAGTTTATTCTTCGTATTTACAAACACAATAATTTGAACTTGTTGGAAGTCATCTCTATTTATGGAGAATATCACTTTATAAGATGTCTCATGTATGAAATTCCAGATTATGCCATATGAGTAATTGGTACATGTCTTTTCTTCATAAAAAAAAGTTGTTACCAGGTTAGGGTAAAGTTGACTTGGGCATTTTTTTAACATTGCATCATGGAAAAAAAACATAGACAAGCTTTTGGCGTTGGAACTCATAGTTCCACCGAGATATTGTAGTATATACATAGTGACGTGTGGGTACGCTCTCCTCTTACCTTAGTGTTTGGAAAGCTGTGTTATGTCTC